TTTCCATATAATAATCTATTACAATGACTATATAGTTATCTTAACAATAAAAAAATAATTTCCAAAATGTCCATTTATAGTAAGTTCTGATCTTTTGTTTACATTTATATACCAAACACCTGGTTAAATTTCATGTTGAATCTCTCGGTAGCCAAACTTGGTCTTTGTTCCTCTACACTCAGGAACCAAACAGACAGAGACAACAAGAGAACATCTGCAATTCTTCTTTATATTAGCCTTCTTCTAGGCTCCATTACTGTCATTGTCTTTTAAAATATTTTTCTTATAAAGCTCTGTGTTTACATTCTTCTTGGAATGAGATAGACTATAAATAACATACAGGTAGGGTTTTACAGAAAAACATAACTTTAATAAACTCAATTAGGGGTAGGAGGACTCTGGGGATAGGGTAGTTGCAGCATGATGATCTGACTCTCCTCTGGGAGTAAAACCACCGCAACCAGACAGCATGATGCCAAGGCATCTAAGAACCTTATCCTTCAACGTCTAGGAGAAGCAGTGAGATGCTGTTGAGTCATCCAGAAAAAAAGATCAAGAGTCTTCCTTTTCCTGAAACCTAGAGAGAAATGACTTGTTATATTCAACCAAAGGGAGTTTCTAGTAGTGCAAAGTAGAAGAATCAGTTAAATAATGAACTTATGATGCTGTCGAGGACTAGCTCCTCTAAATCATCCTCCAACTGCAATTTCAAAACAGCTAAAAATGCTGGGACTAATAATATATCTAATTATCATCTTTTTTTTTTAAGAGTAGGAAAAATTTATTGGGAGAAAGCAAGCTTCTGCCTGAGAGACAGAATGTCTAATTATCATCTTGAAGTATGCAAAGATTTCTTGGGACCCAAAAAGCAACAGCCATAAATTTTGTTTGTTTTGGAGACAGGGTCTTGTTATCTAATCCAGACTGGGCTTGAACTTGTGATTCTCTTGGCTCAGGCTCCTGAGTGCTGGGATCACAGGTGTGCGGCACTAGGGCTGACCAGCCAGAAAAATTTTTTAAAAGTATAAGCTGGCACCAGGCATGGTGGCACATGTATGTAATTCCAGCTCTCAAGAAGCTGAGAAAGGAGGATTGTGGCCAGCCTGGACTACACAGTGAACTGAAGGCCAGCCTGAACTACATAGCTAGACACTGTCTCAAGAAGACATAAAAAGCATAAACTGCAGCTTATAAAAATTCAAAACTGGGTTTGGGTGTAGCTCAGTGGTAGATAGTATGTTTAGTATGCCCAAAGTCCTGGGTTCTGTGCCCAGCACAACAGCCTCCCCCCACCAAATAGAAACTTCCATTCATAAAAACATTTAAGAAAAACAGGCAAGCCTGGGAAAAACAGTGTGCGTGTGTGTGTGTGTGTGTGTGTCTGTGTGTGTTTCTCGGATTTTTTTGTTTTTGTCTTTTTTTGAGACAAGGCTGTAGCCCAGGCTGGCCTTGAACTCTCAGTGATACTCCTGCCTCAGCCTCCTGAGTGCTGGGTTTACAGATGTGCACCACCACACCTGGCTTCCTGAGAATTTCTAATTTTAAACTGGGGCTTGTAGGCTAAAAAAAAAAAAAAAAAGCCAAAATTTATTTAAAGTGATTCAAACTTGTTAGTGCCTCAAGGCACCAGGAAAACACACACACACACAGACACACACACAGACTGAGAATATAGCATTCACTGCAAGCCTTGAAGAATATTCAAGCTGTAAAAGAACTCAAGCTTAAAAAAAAAAAAATCAAAACACAGACAAAAAACACACAAAATCACAAAAAAGAAAAAAGCACCATGAGAGTGTCAGCAGAAATAACAGAAAGAGGACCAGGGATTTAGCTCAGTGGTTCTGCCGCCTGCCTCGCAAGCGCAAGGTCCCAAATTCGATCCCCGGTACAAAAAACCAAAAGAAATAACAGAAAGAACCATCAAACCCACAAAAACTATAGATATCAAAATTACCAGACATAGAATGTAAGTATACATTAATGTATTTAATAGATATATAAAGAACAAAAGGAATAATTTTAAATTAAGGACTTGAGAACTATTTAAAATGAGATTTGAAAACATAATTAGGTTGAACTCAATAAATAATTGAAAACAATAATAATAATAATTGACATAAACTGTAAGAATAAATGACCTAGAGAAATCACCCAAAAGGCAGTAGAAAGAGAAATGAGATAGAAATTATGACAGACAAGGTCAGAGAATAAGAGGATGAAAGAAAAGGTCTAATAAACAGCTTCATAAAGTGAGAACTGAGAACATGGGGGAAAGGCAATATTAAATGAGATAATTTTCAATCAATTGTCAGCTTCAGAAAGTCCAACAAATCCCAAATAGATTAACTAAAAGGAGAAAGGCTGGAGTGTAGGGTTACACCACCAAAAAGAGCAAGGAGCCGGGTGTGGTGGCACGCGCTTGTAATCCCAGCACTCTGGAGGTGGAGGCCAGCCCGGGCTAGTGAGTTCAAGGCCAGCCTGAACTACATAGCAAGACCCGGTCTCAAAAAACAAAACACCCACAACCATAAATCTCCCTACTAGGGACAGGACCGAGGAAAACAATTTTTTAAAATCTGATTTTACCCCATTCCCCCTCTTCAAGCCCCTCCCCTCCCTATGTACAAAAGTTTTGTTTCCATTTTTTTCCTTCTAGTTTCACTTTTTTTGTCCCTTCCTTCCTCCCCCCCCTTGTTCCCCTTCCCCTTTGAACACTTTCTTCCCATTTCCCAACATCCATTATACATCTGTCCTTATTTCCACAATCAGTTTTTCACACCAGAGAAACAATGTGGTATTTAAACATGTGTCCGATTTAAGAAAACAATTGTTTAGTGCAGTAAGTCTGTCACTGGATCGCTTCAGTTAGCAAACACCGGGGACCACGAAGGGCAGTGGGAGGGGAAGGTACCCACTTGCAGTTGGTGCAGGTGTAGAAGACAGTCTGGCCCTCGTCGGCCGAGCGCATCTGTCTGGTGTGGTAGGCCATCCCCTCGTGACCGCATCTCGAGCAGCGCCTATCAACCTAGGGAAAAGCCGGTGGCTCAAATAGGCGCAGTCACATCCCCTGCTTTTTACAGGAATGAGGCTGTCACACGGGTCAGAGATCCTCGACCTAAAGATCCCCTCCTTCTTGGAATTGGTCACAAAACTCCAGATCTCTGCGGTCGCCCTTCCATGTCTTCCCCACCCTCCTTATAGAGCCGGATCTCGCCAACTTACCACGGGTCCCTGGGACTCAGGTCCTTCCTCCCCCCACGCAGGCATGGCTGTCCCTAGTCTGTGGAACACAACTGAGGTCTTGACAACCTTTCCTTCGAAGTCTGCACAGGCAGGGAAAACTGTTAGAGATCGGCAGAGGGCGCTGACACCGCGACGCTCCCGATTGGGCCGGGAGGCCCGCAACCGTCCCTTGGGGTTTCGCCCCCGAACCAAAGTACGAGCACCCGGTGCTGCTCCGGGTCTCCTCCCCCAGGCAACCAGGGGGGCGCTCAGAGCCTCCGACCTCCCGGGACCGCTCACCCCTCGCGCTGACCGGGAAGCCGCAACGCGTGCAGGCAAGCGTGTCCTGAGCGCCAGGCAGAGGCAGGACGGAGCCGCACTCCGGACAGAAATCCAGGTCCGACTGAAAGCTGGAGCCGCTACTGCCGAGCTCCATGTCTGACCTGTGGAGGAGGCCGGAAGGGAAGGAGAAGTCTACAAACCACAGACTTAGAGAAGCCGGCCGTTCCCGTCTGCGCCCCACGCAGAGGATTTCTCTGCGAGCAAGGCGCCCGGGATTCGCAACCTGTGCTGGGAGCAGCGTATCAAGGCGCCGGCTACAGACGCGACTAGACGTCACCGGCTAGAGCGCCCGCTGGGCGCGGACCGCGGGGCAGCGAGCGGCGGGCTAGAGCGTCGACAGCTCCTGGCCGCGGCTTGTTCGTGACGTTATAGTCAGTCGCCACTCTTCGTCGCTGATCCCTGGGAGGGGCGAAGGTTCGAAGGGGGTTTGAGATGCCGCTATCGCCCCGGTCCTGTGACCTCGAGTAAGAAAAACGAGTAACCAGTGCTGGGCACTGGTAAGCACGAGTATCCGTGAGCTTTCAAGGGTCAGTTCAGGGCTCCTGAAAGGGGGGACCAGCTTCTCAAGGGCAGGGAGTGGTGAAGGTGAAAGCAGACGAGGAATCCTTAGTCCCTAGGAGATGAAATAAAGGAGGGATGAAGTGGGCCACTTCGGAAGGGAGTTCAAGATCTTAGAGGTGGTGAAATAGAAGAAACTTGGGTTTCTCTTTCTTTAGGCTCTTTCCAAATAAAGGACGATAGCGTTAGTCAGAAACCTCCCTGAGACAGAATTTACCAGGACTTAGGTCGAGTTTGGCTCTCGGTTGAGGACCACCGTGCATCTTCCCTCGCCTCCCGTGCACTAGCTCTGTATCATTCATTTGCTGGACAGTTGACCGCCCTCCACCCCCGTCTTTTATAGAACATGAGGAAAGATGAATATCTGTAGAAATCGTGCTATTTTTGTTGATATGTAGCTTGCAATACGTAGAAACCTGTCCTGAAGAGGTAGCTTCTAGATGAGTTTCCTGGTCCCCTCTCAACCCTCCCACAACCATTGAACCTGATGGCTATACTAAACTACTTTATATAAGAGTTTTAAAGTCATCACTGTTTTCTCTTCTGAAGAACTCTTCTTCTGTAGTCTTTTCTTGAGAGAGACTGATGTGAGACTACCATAGTGAAGAGATTAAAACACTTAAGACATGCCCCATAATTTGACTTAACTGAAACTTAACATTTTGTCTTGCAAAGGGTGGTCTGTTGTTGAGTCCACGATGGTAGGCAATTTTTATTTTCACTTTTGTTTTTTCTCCTTTCAAAATGGACATTGAAATTAGCATTCCTTCCTCCCCAACTTAGTTTGCCAACCATTCAGCCAATACCCACTATGAATCGAATTCTATCCTAAAGCAATAAAAGAGCACAGGTATTAGAAGGTGTAACCCTTTTTCACAACCTGTTCAATATTATGCCAGGCTTCAAGGTGATGCTGGGAGTAATAGTTTAAGTCTGTGTTTTCTGACTCACAGAACACAAGAATAATTAGAATACAATTAAGGTACATTCATGGGTACAAAATGTGAGCATCTAGGTCAGGCATATAAAACAAATGCCTGTAAACTTCAAAGAAGAATGGTAAATGCTTTAATAAAAAGATACAATGTTATTGTAAATATAAGAAAAAGATGATTAGGTATGTGATAAGGATAATAAGTTATTAATTTAGAGACTGGGATCAGACTGTTAAGTACTAGATGCTATGTGCAAAGAATTGAAGACAGTCTTTTTTAAAGTCTCAAACACACATAGGTAAATAAAAATGTGCTCAAGTGAGAATCAAAATAAGTCAGAAGTCAGTGAGACCAAATATTAGATATCAGATCCTCTCCAAAAATAGAGATAAGTCATTATATGTGTAAATATATAATTCCTACATTTTAAAAGCCAAAATTCTTTAGTTTTGTTTGTTTTGAGAGGTTGGGTTTTTTTGGGGGGTGCTGAGACACAAGCCTGCCCCCACCCCCCAATAGTCTTATTGTGTAGTTCAGGCTGGCCTCCAACTTGTGATGATCCTCTTGCTTTAGCCTCTTGATTGCTGAGATTGCAGGTATACACCCCCACACCTAGCTATAAGCCTAAATGTCAATGTCAAAATGTTAAAAGTTATATATGAATACTGCTATCACAGTGTAAACCATGCTTGATTTTCAAATGAATTGTAGAAATAAAAAAAATTAAGTTGCTTGTTTAGAGGAAGGCAAATCACTGAGACAAACACTAAGAAGACCATAGAGAAACAGAGGCTTAACTTGTAAAAGACAGCTGCCATTTACTGAGATCTTACCATATATTCAGCTTTCTCTGTTAATCGCTTTACATCTAATTTACTTTTGTTCTTTATGGGCTTGAAAGGCATATTTTTGTCTTTTTTTTTTTTGGTATCGGGGATCGAGCTTGCGACCTTGTGCTTGGGAGGCAGGTGGCGGCACCACTGAGCTAAATCCCCAGCCTACATATTTTTGTCTTACATCTCTATTTTATAGATGAAGAAATTGGCATAGAAAAGTTGAGTGATACTCTCGACTCATATACCTAGAAGGTAGTGGAATTTGGATTCAAATTTATTGCTGTCAGTCTTCAAAGCTCATGCTGGATGAGTACCAATCCTGGATGGCATAAAAGCCACAGAGATATATGCCACCCTCAGTGGCTTAAATATGACCTCAGTGAGCTTTGGTTAGGTAGAGAACAACAAATAAAAAGATAATAGTCTTCGGCCGGGGATTTAGCTCAGTGGTTCCACCACCTGCCTCACAAGCACAAGGACCCGAGTTCGATCTCTGGTACCAAAAATAATAATAATAATATTAATAGTAGAACTTTGGAACAGAGAGCAGAGAGTTGTATGTGCTGATGGAGTCACAGAGAGCCCAACTCAAGAAACTAGTGCAGAAACACAATAAGATGATAAAATTGGAGTCTAGAATTATGGCAGAAGACAAAGGCAGGGAGCCTGAACAATTTGTCATAGATGTATTTGGGCAACACTTCACCAAGGAGCCTCTGTCTTCCCTCTTGCAATCCCTGGTAGAAGATTCAGAATGGTTCACACTGAGCCCACAGGAAAAGTATGCTTTTTAGTTCATATGAAATTAAAGATGCTCTTCTTATTAGAAGATTCACTGTTCTTCACCATAGGAATGCAGTGGTTTCCGATGCAAGAAATGGTCTTCTAGAGTCCTGGCTATAAGCAAGTTTTTACATTCTGAGGGATATACCTTTGGTCTTGGCCAAAGCATTTGGATTCTTTTGCTTAGGCAACATGTGAGTGGGTGTGTTGACAAACCCCAAATTCTAATCTACCTTTCCTTTTCATCTTCCAGATTGGCCTGGGTGAGAACATTGAAAGACCCTAGGGTTGCTGCAGATCAACAGTCCCCACTGGAGAAAAAGATCTTGGTAAATAAGTTATCTTCACAACATATAATTTGGGATTACTCAGACAACAAACTTTGGTTTAAAATCCTTCTATCCAAGTTACATCATCAGCAGGGCATGGTGGCACACACCTGTAATCCCAGCCCTCAAGAGGCTAAGGCAGGAGAATCGCTTTGAGTTCAAGTCCAGCCTGGGCTACATAGTGAGTTAAGGGATACTCTGAGCTACATGGCCAGACCCTGTCTCAAAAAACCAAAAAAAAAAAAAAAAAAACAACCCACAAAAAGCCAGGTTACCATCAGGTAGCATTGCTACACTGGCTAATATTTCCCAGCCATTTCTATAGTTACAAAACAAAGTATGGGCTGAGGATTTAGCTCAGTGGTGCCTATGTTCTAACCAAGCAAGTAGGAACTGTAGAGATAGATGTGCCACACTCTGAGTCAGATTTGAAGTTTATTTAAAGCCGGCGACCGAGAGGGCCTAGTGCCCAGAAAGAACTCTCAGCATTGAGAAGCAGTTTGATTTCTCCTTTTAGACCATGCTTCCAGTTGGGGAGGGCTCAAGGGGGAGATCAAGTGGAATTTTAAGAAGCAGAACCATGCCAGGTTAGTGGGGGCCAAGAGGAAGTTTCACATACTGGGTGAGCTACAAAACTTCCTGTAGCTGCAGCAAGTTTTCTGCCAAACAGGATGTGGGTTTTGGGTGCTTTGTGCAGCACAAGCACAAAATGGTGGTGAGGCTGAAGATGGAGTCGGGCTGGCTGTCACACCAAGCCTGCCTCGAAAAATGCAAGGTCCTGAGTTCGACTGGGGGAGAAAAAGTATTAGTTTGAAATCTGCCAACAGTATAAATTTTTTAAACTAGTTACTGACTTGTGGTGGGTACTTCATACTTTTAGAGCTCTCAGCCTTGTCTGGGATTAAGGGGAGTCAAAATTACATGAAAGTAAATGAAACAGAATGTATCTTCTTGGTGTTGGAAGGGATAGGCTCCTGTTTAAATGTGTTAAAAAAAAAAAGATGATCACGTTATAAAACCCCAAACCTTTGACAGAACCTAGGTGGGATGCATACAACAGCAGCAAGATACTTGATAACTCAGAAACATCAAGAGGAGTATGAAACACTCTGTAGGGAGCAGGCTTGTTCTCTTGACTACTGGCTTGCTAAAGCAGAGTCCTACTATAATAAAAGAACAATGGACATAATGGAAAGAGAGGCAACGGGCAATGAAATGAAGATGAAAATGGAGGAGGAAACAACCCTAAGCATAGAGGAACAAAAGCATTACTATGTAATAACCGAGAGAGAGAGGAACAGATAGAAAGGCACATACATCGAACAGGCCAGGCCACAGGATTTAAGAACAGAACATTTAGACAGCCACAACCCCTCCGTGAAACGTTACCAGAAGCTACCCCAGAAAAGCATGGTATCCAGAAAGCACAGAGAAGAAAGCAGGTGAATGAAAGAGAACAGATGCAAATTAAGGATCACCAGGAACGCATGATTTGAGGGAGAGAACTTATACAGCAAAGACTCAAGGAAAGAATCCTGAGAAAAAGCCAGAGCCAGCCACCTACATGTGAAAAGTGTGGGAGAGCACAGAAAGACATCGGGGAGCTTGAGAGAGTCACTGCATATCCACTTTTCCAGCCATGCAGTAGAAGTCGGGTGCAAGCGACTGCTCTTATGGAAAAGCCTCAGACTAGAGAGGAAGTGGATACAATTCTAAAACCAAGTGAAGGAAAACGCTTGGCTCTACTCCCCTTTTGGGGACATCAAATAGGAAAATAAAACATTAATAAATGTCAGTAAAGTTTCAATGCTTTTGTGATGAAATCATATCTCTGAACCTTTTTTGCTAATTGCCTCTTCTAAGGATTTAGTCATATTCCCATTTATATCACATATAGTATAAGATAGTTCTGAACTTGAAAACAATTACTTAGCTATTTTTATTTGTTTTTTTTTTTTTTTGGGTACTGGGGATCGAACTCGGGTCCTTGTGCTTGTGCAGCAGGTGACGAAACCATTGAGCTAAATCCCCGGCCCTATTTTTATTTGTTCTTTATT